CCCCCAAACCCACACACACGCGGAGAAGACGATATATTGCACTCTTAGCCTATAAACTTCGGATAGGCAAGCAATTTAACCATTTAACTATTTCAGGAGTAAAGATGACTTTGAATTGATTTAAACATAATAATCTTAACACTATCTGTTAGGTTCCACTATATATTCCGTTAAATTCAATTAAATATGGCGATAAAACTATTATTTTGAAAAGCATTTTTATAGCCATTAGAAGAAAAATGATAAGAACTTATATTTTTTGGAAAGAGTAAGTTTGAGATTTATATTTGCAAAATATCCTTGAAACGATAAATAAAATAAAACAGCAAGTATGATAAGTCAGTGAATGGAAGTAATGACACAGCTTCAAGATATTTTTCTAATCGAAGTTGACATTATTATGTACTAAAGCTATTAGCTCAGTTACCCCCCCCCCCCCACCACCACCACACACACACAAAAAAAAAAAAAAAAAACTCAAGAAAGAAAAAAAGAGATTGCTCAACGCGGTCACCTTGTAGGATGGCCCAGTACCAAGAGGACAGAAGAGATGAAGTTTTGGTCAAGGGGGAGAGACTAGAGAAGGTTGGCTTTGAAGAATATCTGAACTCTTAAACTATTTCAGCACTAGCTGTTTCTAACATGCACCAAAGTGTACTAGCATGGTGTTGACCTGCTTTGCACAATAGTCAATATTAAAGAGCATAAGCACAAGCACGGGCACTAGACAGCAGTAAGTTACATTGATGCTGGTCGGGAGCAAATGCATATTGAGACCGATGAAGGTAAATCCATCATGCAAGATCACGGCGAACAGCATTCTGCTTGTAATCTTGTGAAAGATGTGTTGCTCTTTCTTCTCCTCATTTTTTTTTAAAATCTGGATTTCAGTGGTCTCAATAGTGTAATTGATCAAAATTAAACTACTGGTCTGTTCTGCAGACCACTTTCATATCTGCTTTGAGATTTAAAAGGATGAGAATTACCAATTTTGATGTATGAGATTAAGAAGGAATATTGAAGTTTTGCTGCTTTCTTACATGCTTCCTGATGGACACCAATTGACCCCGATCGTATATTAATTTGAGGTTGTTGTAAGAGTTCTTAAATTTTAAATGCCGGATCGGCATCTGTTCTTAGGTGGTGGGTTAAGAATGGTTCTGCAAGCCTGTAGCACTATAGCTTATTCTACAGAAGCACCACCATGCACGTCCGGAGTACATAATTAATTGTGGTCTCAGAAATGCAACTTCTATTCCATGCAGATGAAGTTAGAGGAAAATCAGAGTAAAGAAAGTTCGTGTCCATATTATTAATAATGCAGTTGAACTGAAATTGACCTTGTTAAAGAACACAACCACCAGCCTGTTGTCAATCGCCAAACCTTGGTCTTTCACGTACTTTGGCTAATATCTATCTGTAAAACATCTTCAAAATTAGTAAATTACTTATCTCCGCTTAGGGTTTTAATTAATCCAGCCAGCTGGGCTATAGAAGAGCACGAAAAATTGACTGGTAACATGGGAGTATTTTGGTATCGAGTTCATTTGAACCTAATATGTTCGATGGGGGTATAAATTTTTATAAAATTTTAATAAAGATTAAATCTAAACTCATAATTTTAAAAGCACAACGAGTTTAATGTAAGAACCTTAATAGTTGAATTTATCCAAGTTAAAATTCTTGATCCGCTGTTAGGTAGAAATCTACCTTTTTGTATCAGGTGTTAGGTCACCAATATCTTTTTAACTCGAACTACACACATTTAGTTTAGTTAATTTTTATCAAAGAAAAGAAGTTATATATTGATACTTAGTTCAGAATTACGTCACAAAGGATTGACACTATCTAATTCTAGTTCCACCCAAATGAGATGCTTTTTTTAAGGAAACGGATATGCAGTAATTTAATTTAACTTGATGGTGTCACAAATTTATAAATTATCAATATGCAGACGTTAGATCTATTGCTTTAAAAAAAAACTTATCTTTAACAATTTCTAATTGAGGTGATTTTTAATTTTTTGATTTCACATTAGGAATTTCACATTGGGATTAATGTGAAGTGATGGCTTAGTAGGGAATGACAGTTGATACATGAAGAAAGAATCATTTCACATTCTTTGAGTATTTTATTAGTTAGAGCATATAGACTGGCAAGAATGTGGCATAGATTGCGGTTGTTTGTACCCCATGCACAACCCCTACTAATAGTTCGTCAAACTTCTTTTTGACCAAAAGTGTTTTTTTCTTTTTTGCCAAAATCATTTTTGGCCAAAAATTGAGGTGTTTGGCCAAGCTTTTAGAAGTAAAAAAAGTGCTTTTGAAAGCAGAAGCAGTTTTGGAGAAGCAGAAAAAAGTAGCTTCTCTCCAAAAGCACTTTTTTTAGAAGCACTTTTGAGAAAAATGCACTTAAAAGCAGTTTTTTAAAGCTTGGCCAAACATTAATTGCTGCTCAGAAGTGCTTTTCAAACTAATTAGCCAAACACAAACTGCTTTTCACCAAAAATACTTTTGAAAAAAACACTTTTAAAAAACAGCACTTCTCAAAATAAGCTGATTTTTGCAGCTTGGCCAAACAGGCTATAAGTCACGTTAGTCTATAACTATTTTCAGTGGGCGGGCGCACTATTTTTCAGATTTCAGTTCTTTTCGCATCATATAATCTGTTAGTTTATTTTTTATTTTATTTTTTAAAAAAAAAAGGTAATACGGACTAGTATACTCTAACATGTGATATCGATTAACTATTTCCTCGTATTTTAGATGGTCTTTGTTTTTACCGAACCTGGACACTAATTGCAGTTTAATTAACCAATCTTTAACTCCAATTCAATGGTTTCTAGATATTTTTACCTAACTCAACAACAAGTCAACAGAAATAAAAGCTGCATTACGCTACGTTGTCATCTACCTCAATCAATTATTTGGAGGTTTTGTTGACAGACAGACAATTAGGGGAGTATTTAATGATTCTTCATTCACCTTCAAATAATAAGATTTGCTTTTTATATCGGTTTCACTTCCATTTAATTGTTAAAAAATCTAATATTCACCTTCTAAATTATGCATTAACAAATCTCACACTTATATAAATGATTTCTAAAACTTGATTACCATATATGAAACTTAATTGCCAAAAATGTGCACAGTTTCTAATTTACCCGCTCTGTCCATATTTTTCCTACAATTATTATATCATTCATTAAATACTAATTATTAGTAGCTGAATCTTCCTAATTAGGCGTGCTAAATTCAGGAACAGAATCTTCTAATTGATTTAGCCACAAATCAAATCTGTTCAAAAGCTCAATTCGTCGAAATCAAATCTGTTCAAAAGCTCAAATCTGTTCTTTGATATTTTCGTTTAAGACACAAATCAAAAGCTCAGTTCGTCGAAATCAGAAGCTCAATTTCAAATTGTAGAAATCAGTTTTGCAAAAGCTCAGTTCGTCGACATTCTCTCTACATCTCTCTCTATTTCTCAATCGCAAATTTCAGTAATATAAAGCAAATGAAAAGAGAGCAGGAATTCCACCATTGACAGCCATTAAAAAGCTTGAAAGCTTTGAATTCAAATTTGGGTTTTCAAAAATCATTATTTGTTTGGATTGGGTGTTGTTGAAAATAATCGGGAATATGGTTTGGAGTTTATATCTCAATTTTGAGGGATTTTGGTGAAGATTAGACTTGGTTTTGACTGAATTTCAGATTGAAACTCGAAGAATAAGAAGAAGAAGACATATTGCAGAAATTGTAGATAAATTGTAGATTATTTGTATTCTGATTGTAGATGCTTTATTTTCTGTTTTCACAAATAAAAAACGGGTAAAACTTCTACAAATCTTCTGAAAAACGCAATTATGTCAAAAATCCCAATTATGCTACAATTGAATGGGAATTGGGATATAAAAATTCAATGTACCTAGTTTATAGATATTTTGTAGATAAATTGTAGATTATTTGTATTCTAATTGTAGATGCTTTGTTTTCTGTTTTCACAAATAAAAAACGACTAAAACTTCTACAAATCTTCTGCAAAAAACGCAATTATGTCGAAAATCCAATTAAACTACAATCGAATGGGAATTGGGATATTAAAATTCAATATACCCAGTTTGTAGATATTTTGTAGATGAATTGTAGAATATTTGTATTCTGATTGTAGATGCATTATTTTCTGTTTTCACAAATCCAAAACGACTAAAACTTCTACAAAATCTTCTACCATTTTTTTTTCTAAGTCAAGAAAATAGTGTACGTACTTTCTTTGTTAATAACGTTTCTGTCGAGGTCGTCCGACTGTTTGATACTTATATTTTCGACACTTATATCGCATGTAATCTAATTAATAGTATTGGAGCACGAGGTGGCCAGATTAATATTTATGAAAATAGATTGAAAATTTAACATGACAATCTACAAAACTAGCTTGTTTAGTCTTCATATCTTAACCACGTGTAAATTTCTTACGTGCCTGGAAATAGTGAAAGACACACAGACTCTTATTTTTTGCATGAGTTCAAAAATTAATTAAATTAAGCAAATGGTTTTTTGTCAGTTGTATAGCGTGTTTACTGAAGCTCTCAGTCATTTTATTAATTGTTGAATTTTAACAAGAAAGTGTCAGCTGATTCTCAGCAAATTAATTGTACCCTTAAAATACACTATGGTATAGAATTGGTAATTTGGTATACTAAGTGTAATTAAGTCAAACCTTAAATATTGAGGGTAATAATGTTTCCTATGTGGCATAGGAATGTAAAAATTCCAAAGAAGAAACCGATGGGCTGAGGTGAATTTAGATTTTTAATTTTAAGTCATGAGCCTTCTAATATTATACCTTGAAAAGGATTAGAACCTCCACGTTCTTTAGCATGAGACTAGTGAATCTATCCGCGCTTCGCGCGGTGATATAATATTATTAAAGTCATAATTTAGTTACATATCTATACCATCTAAATTTCTAAAAATATTAAACCCCGACACGATACAAAAATAAAATATACAAAAGTTTATAAAAAATTAAATATACAAAAGTTTATATGGTCGCATGTCTCTAAGACCTCCAATTGGTGATGTCGGAGGTAGTACTTGTTGACCAACTTTATTATTTGTATATTTTTCGATAAGCCTTGAAATTAATTTCTCAAGGTTGCTTGTTCTTTCTCAAATATTTAAATCTCTTTTTTTTTTAAAATTTTAATGTGTAATATCTAGCACAAAATATTTATAATCATATAATACACCTGAATGTATGTAATATGTATTTCTCATGCTTTTCAAAAAAACATGTCCAACCTCACAATATTGCTCGTTAACCTCGAGCAACTCATCGAATTAGAAGTCATCTTATCTGACTTCATATATCTTGCAACACAACTAATGCCTAGTCGTATCATTAATTTGTTTCCAAATTCTCATAATCTTATTTTTGACAATTATGGTTGGTGCTGGCTGTTAGCGCATATATCGAGACCTGAATTAATTTTTTTTTCAAGAATATCAATTATAAAATAGTCAAAAAATAGTAATCCCAAAACAAAAATGAAGTACAAGTTCCGTTGGTAACATA